CAGCAGGGTTCAAATGTGAGTGATGAAAGCAGCAGTCATACTAGAGTGGATATTACGGATTTGATTAGAGAATCAAATGAGGTAAGTTTTTTATACCATAAATATAATGATGTAGTTTATTTAAAATAATTGATAGTATGGTTGTATCTCTAATGGTATATTAAGAACCAAATAATAATGCAAGTAAAGATACAATTTAAAATCCAAATGTATAAAAATAATTTAACTAATTAACTTTAAAAAAAAAGAAAAAAGAATTACTATTCACAAAGGACTCACTCAAAAAAATAGTTCTGTGGACTGTTTGAAGGTTCTCCTAACCTCTGCCTCAATTTACTTTTCATTAAATGAGACTAAATTCACTTCCTTTCACAAATAATGACCACCTTTAAAAATTCTTCACTATATAAAATGATGAAAATTATTCTCTTCTTAGAGAATAGGGATTTTACCAATGTTCTTGTACTTAGTCTAGACACATAGTAGATGAAATTCTCTGCAGTGAATATATATAAAAACTGAAACGTGGGAGGTGAAAATTTGCAAGATCACTGAACAAGTCAGGAAAATAGCTGGAAATAGAACCAGGGCCTCTGAGAATTGAGTCTAATAAAATTCAATTGTAAGAAGAAAAATGGATATTTATTATGAATGAGTATCAACTGAAATAATCTCTTGCAGAAATATGGTAATATTCGCTATGAAGATATACACAGCATGCGCTGTCGAAATAGGTTGTATGTGATACAGACCCTAGAGGAAACAACGAAGCAGAATGTGGTGAGTATCCACCCGGTGGGAGAAACACAGTTGGAATAACATTTTTTTAACTTCTATAGAAATTATCAGTATGTGCAAGTAAAATAAAAAGAATTAAACTTTTGAAGAAGATTCTTGCCAAGATTTAGCTTATTGTAATTTTTTAAAGGGAATAAATCATTTTTCTTCTGGTTGAATTATGTTGCTTTCTCCAACATATTTTGCATTATTTGACTTTCAACACCAGTGAGCTTCATTGTTGAATGCTGTGATATAGCCGTTTAAGCATAATATCTTTGTGATATACTCCATTAGTAAGAACTGCTGATATAGTGGGTCGTTGGAAAAGTCTTGACATATTCTACATTTGTTGATGCAAAAATGTGTCATGACTTTTCCGATGACCCAGTACTTAGTAGTCAGTACTGCTAATAAATATTATCCTTGGATGCCTAAGGTATAAAACAGTGTGTTTTAAATATTTACCTTTTTAATATCTGGATGGCTTCATAATTAGCTGTTAATATCAGTTGTCTCTGGTGAGTGGGATTAATACATAACTGGTTAAAAGGGAAAGGGTTGGGGGCTAGCAGTTGGTATGGTGTTTAAGGTGCTGGACTCCCACATGGCCAACCACGGTTCAAGTCCTGGACCTGGGGCTTACTTCCTCTTCTCTCTCTCTCTCTCTCTCTCTCTCTCTCTCTCTGTCTCTATCTCTCTATTGAGCACTCATGCCCTATAACAAACTTAAAAATAATAATAATAAATAAATATTTTAAAGGGGTTTTATTTTGCTGTTTCTTTCTGTACTGTGCAAGCTTTTATCATGAGCTTGTGTTGTTTCTGTAAACCTACTTAAAAGCCAGGTCCTCGGGACCAGCAGTCAGGATAATGGCTGTGTCGCTGAACTCCCATATAGTCGACTGCAGTTCGAGTCCTGGACCCAGTGGCTTAAACTCACACTGGGCGCGTGTGCTTGCGTGCCCAAGACCCCAAGAGGATATTGGAGGAGAAGGGATTGCGGTGTGGCCATCCCCCCTGGGGGGTGATTTCTCGCTTTCTCTCTCTCTCTCTGTCTCTCTCTGTCTTTCTAGCGAGCTCACACGCCCTCTAAGAAAAACCTCTCAAAAAAAAAAAAGCTTAAAATAAAAAAGCCAGGTCTTCAGAGATATAAATCTGGAAGGATAGACATTTCCGAAGATTCTGTGTTTAGACTTTAGTTAAATAATTCAGTGATGTTACTGTGACGTGTTTAGCATAAAGTCCCCTTGTTTCAGTTTCCATATATTAACTTTTTAAAAATTTTACTGAAGTAATATGTGTGCACATTGTAAATAATTCAAACACAGAAATGTAAAAAGTAAAGGTTCCCCTCACCAGGAGTAACTATCTTGAAATGATTTGATGTATATCCTTTCATATCTTTTTTCTGTGTATCTGCACACATAAATGTGTATGTGTGTGTTGGGGCAGGGGGAGAGTATAGAGTTTTTAAATGAGATCATTCTAGTCACTTTATTCTGCAACTTTTTTCAATTCAGAAATGTATCATGGTCACTACATATAGATCTACCTCATTCTTCCTAATATATTGAATAGTGTACCATAGTATGGATACACTGTAATTTATTTAACTATTTTTTATTGATGTACATTTACTGTGTCTCCATATTTTTGCTCTTACAAATAATACTTTGCATAAGTATCCTTGTATGTGTATTTTTTGTAAGAGTATTTCTATAAGATCAGGGCCAGCAGGTGGCATAGTAGTTATGCACTGGACTCCCATGTGGTCTACCGTAGTTTTGAGTCCCAGAGACCCAGAGGCTCGAAACCCACACCAGGCACATGTACCCTTGAGAGAAAAAGGATTTGTGCCTGGCCCTTCCCCCGGGGGGGGGGGAGGTGTGTGATTTCTCACTTTCTGTCTCTATCTCTCTTTGGTGAGTACACATGCCCTCATGCCCTATAGCAAAAATCTCTTTAAAAAAAAATGAGTATTTCTACAAGATAGATACCGTGAAGTGAAAGCTAGGTAAAATGATATATGTCCATTTAAAATTTCACAAGTCCTAGAAATTACCCTCCAGAAGTTTTGTACTAAGTTATAATCCCATCAACAGTATATATGAATGAGCTCCTTGTATATTTTGGTTATTAATCCCATGTGTGATGTATAGTTTGCAAATATTTTCTCCCATTCTGTGGGTTGTCTCTTCACTCTATTGGTTTGTTACCTTCGCTGTCCAGAATCTTTTTAAGTTTGATATAATCAGTTTTTGCTTTTGCTACCTATGTTTTGGCGATTTTATTTATGATCTCTTTACCCATACCAATGTCCTAAAGTATTTCTCCTAGTAGTGTCATAGTTTCACGTTTTATGTTTTAGTATGGTCTTGCATTATTTTAAATGTGAATATCCAGTTTTCTCAAAACCATTAATTGAAAAAACTGTCTTTTGTCCAGTAAATATTCTTGATATCTATATTGAAAATCAGCTGGTTGTATGTATGTGGATTTATTTCTGGATTCTGGTCTGCTCCATTAGTCTATGTGTCTGAGGATTTTTTGCCAGTACCATCCTGGTTTTGAAACTATAGCTTTATTGTGTATTTTAAAATATGGTAGAATGATGCCTCCAGTTTCATTCTTTTACTCAGGAAAAAATGGCCAAGTGACCTGAATAAACAGTTTTGATATCCTGGTGGGTACTTTCTCACTCTCGGTCTTTCTCCATCTCTCTCCAGTGAGCTCCCGTGCCCTATAGCAAAAATAAATAAATAAATAAATAAATAAATAAATAAAAACAGGCTTCCTTGTCTCCTTGTCTTATGCCTGAATTTAATAGGAATGTTTCTAGTATTTTATTGCTCTTGGTTTTTGAAAAAATGTCCTTTATTAAATTAAGAATGTTTTATTTGGTCGCTAAGTTAAGAGGTTTGGGACTTTTTTTAAAGATCAAGATTGCTAATTTCAATCAAATGACTTGTCCATAGCTTGAGATATGTTTTTCTACTTCAAGGTTAAGGCGCTGGATCCCACGTGACCGACTGCATGGTTCAAGTATATGTATTTCTTGATTATATGTATTTCTACTTTATTAAGTCTTATTAAAGAATTCCTAATATTAGATTTCTATTACATTCTTGAAATGAATCCTATTTGGGTTTGGCATATTATAATTTTGTTATTCTAATGTGATAATTTTGCTAAATAGATTAGCTAGCTTTGCTCCTATGTTTTAGTGACATTGGTTTAACATTCCCTTTGTGCATGCTAACATCAGTTTTCATATTAGTTGTGTTTATGTCCTAGAATGAGTTGTAATAAGTCATTTTTCTGAATTCTGGAATAGTTTAGATCACATAAGAATTATCCATTACTTGAAGGTTTGAGAAAACAAACCTTTATATCCATCTGAGTCTGCTGCTTCTTGATGACAGACAAATCTTTGATTACCTTCTTGGTTCTTCCTATTCAAATTTTCTCACTATTCCAATTTAATTTTAATTAAATATTTTCCTAGGCAATTATCTATTTTGTTAAGATTTTCAGATGTATTGGTATAAAGCTTATGGAATTGATTCTGTACGTATTTAAGGGTACTTATTATGTGCTGGGCACTTTCTGTTTTTGCTGTAGGGTGCATGCGCTTGCCATGGGGATGGGATGGGGAAAGAGAAAGTAAGAAATCCCCCTCCCAGTGGTGATAGCCACATCACAATCCCTTTTCCATTATTCTCATCCCTTCTTCTCCATTCTTCTCTCAGGATCTTGAGTAGGCATGCACACATACCTGGCATGATTTCCAAACCACTGGGTCTGGGACTTGAACCACACAGTCAGCCATGTGGGATCCAGCATCTTAACCTTGATGGCACCTACTGGACATGTGCAGGGCACTTTTAATGACCTCTATATCCATGGCTATATTATCCTTTTTTAGTTATTGATGTTTGTGATTTCTTTTATCATACTTGCCAGAGATTTTTCCATTTTATTTATTTTTTTAACTAACCAACCTTTCATTTATCAAGTCCATTGTTTTTTTTATTTATGTGTTTCATTATTTCTAGCTCTTATCCTTATCCTTGCCTTTTTTCTTTTTTTTTTTTCTTTAATTTGCCAGAGGGCACATCCTCTTCAGGGAAATACTGAGAGAGGGAAAGTGAGAAAGCACCCCTGTGGGGAATAATTATGCTATAATCCCTTTTCCATTTCTCCTCCTTCATCCCTTTTGGGTATGCATACACCCAGTGTTTTTCCTTTCTTTTTTCTTTCTTTTTTTTTTTTAATGTTTTTACCATAGGATGTGTGTTCGCTGAAGAGAGACAGAGAGAGAGAGAGAGATAGTGAGAAAATACCCCCTGGGGGGATAGCCATGCTGCAATACCTTCTCCTTCATTTTCCTCTTGGGATGTTGGGCATACATGCACATGTGCCTGGTGTGTTTTTCAAGCCACCAGGTCCAGGACTCAAACCTTATGTTTGGCCATGTAAGACACACTCAGTTTAACCACCATGCCACAGGTTGGCCCTCTTTACCCCTTGTCCTTTTTTTGAGAGAGAGATTTTTTGCTCTCATATGCATGCTGTCACTAGAGAGATAGAGAGACAGAAACCAAGAAATCACTTCCCAGGGTGAATGGCCATGCCACAATCCTTCCTCCTCTAGGGATTTGGGGCACGCACACACATGTTCCTCCTGGCTTGAACACACAGTTTTAAGTTACCGTGTCCAGGACTTGAATCATGTGAGTCCAGTGGTGTAATATGCCATATGCTTTTTTAAAAAAGTTGTTATATTTAATTGACAAATAGTAATTGTACATACTTACAGGGTGTGGTGTGATTTTTCAATATTCATATATAATATTAAAATAGGGGTAATATCCATCACCTCAGACATTCATCATTTATTTGTATTGGAATTGTTCAAAATCCTCTTTTCTAGCTATTTTGAAATAAACAATAGATTGTTGTTACATAAAGTCACTCTACAGTGTTACTCAATACTAGAATTTATTCCTGCTATCTGCCTGTAATCTACCCTTCTAAATTTATTAAACATCAAAATTGTTGTACTATTAGTGCTCATTCTTCATGGAATAGGATAAAATTACCTCCTGAGCTCACTGCTTCATGGATTTTGGTTTTGGGAATAGAGAGGTAAAGTATATCTCTTGTTGCCTTTGACATGTTCAATGACAACTTCACATGACTTGACAAATTGCTTACATAGCAAGAAAGGAATTCAAGGCCAGCCAGTGGTGTGGTAGTTAAGGAATCTGGATCCTACACGGCCAGCCACATAGTTCAAGTCCCATACATGGCAACTTAGAAAACACACCAGGCACACATGCATGCATGCCCAAAATCCCAAAAGAAAGGAGAAATGGAGGAGAAGAGATTATGGTGTTACCATGCTCCATAAAAGGTGCTTTCTCACTTTCCCTCTCTCCCCCAGTCTCTGGCATGTGCATGCACCCACTGGCATATTAAGGAAAAACAAGAGGAGTATGAGGGAATCTTTAAAATGTGCATGTAAAATGTATATTATGAGAAAACTACATGGATTTCAAAATTTTTGCTCCAATCTAAACTGTACTTTAATTTCCATTTCCATGAACTTTTTGAAGTCCCCTCATGAAATGAGATTTAGAATATTGTTGCTTATATTTATAGACATTAAATAACTATCTTTTGGCAATAATTTCTGGGGAGATGACTGTAAAAGTACATATCAGAGTAGTATTAAACTATATCTATGCACAACTTTTAGAAGAGTAAAATAGGCACATTTACTTTTATTTATTCCTTTAAAAAGATAAAAGAAAAATATTTTCTTCTGGTAGAGGATGACTAAGTGGATTCAAAGAAATTTTTATACTGAAGTATTAATTCTGAATTCCTTTTAATCTCTTCAAAGTTGCGTGTTGTATCACAAGATGTAAAATTGAGCCTTTGTGAGTTGGATGAACTTTATGTCATCTTTAAGGTACTGTAATTCTTCAAATCAAAAATTATGCTCTTTTAATAGCATTTTACTATAACCACTCTTAACTGTTTTTATGTTTATTTTAAAAAACGTGTTTAAAAGAAAAAATATTTTTCAAAGTTATATTTTCTGATTTAATGACTTTCCTTTTTTTATTTTCAATAGAAAGAACTGTTTTTATCTTGTTATTGGTGTTTGAGTTGTCCTGTATTGAAGCACCATGACCCAAGTCTGCCATATTTGGAACAGTATCAGATTGACTGCCAGCAGTTCAGAGTGTTGTATCACTTGTTGAGTCCCTGGGCTCATTCTGCAAACAGAGACTCACTAGCTTTATGGACATTCAGATTGTTGGATGAAAACTCTGACTGCCTTATAAACTTCAAAGAGTTCTCCTCTGCAATTGGTAGGATTATATCAAATAATTTTTAAGCAAAAGATAAAGGTACCCCTAGAAATATTTAGTACTGCCTGTAATTACCAATTTAGTCAGATTATGTCCCCCCAGGTTACATTGTCTTCAGCTTCAGGAATAATAGTTTTTTTCTGTTTGTTGCTAAATCTAAGTATATTGATTTCATTTTACCCCAGTCCTCTCAGAAAAGCAAGCTGTTAGATGTGTACTTTTTAATGATTAATATGAAAGAAAATATCCCTGTTCTTCCACACTCAGATGTATGAGTGCTACAGAAAGACTTTCCCCCTCAGTAAAAATCCAACCATATAGTCTATAAAAGTGACATAGAAATACCCCAACAACATGTTGTACCTATAGATATTGTTCCTTTGCTTTTCCAGATACCTCAGCATACTTTCTTACCAGGGATTGCCCCTTATAGACCAGTTCTCTCAAATGAAACATAAATCTTCCTTTGAAATAAACAGAAGAGGCAGAAGAATGTTTTATCACTTTGATAGAGTATTTTGCTTATAAACTTACAGGAGAGTATCTGGCTAACTGGTGGTGGTTTAACTGTTAGCTTAAGTAACAGAAGGTTTTTGAATCCTAATTCCTGGCTAATATCTGCATGTCAATTAATTTGTGTTGCTAGAAGTGATTGAATGTTCTTTGGATGATTATAACAATTGAATTTTATTGGCCAGACATAATGTACAATGGAAGTTTTACTGAGAAGCTTAAGCTACTTTTTAAGCTGCATATTCCTCCAGGTAAGAGTTTAACAGTCTTTAATCATGTTTAGTATGAGTTTATTCCCTTTTAACAAATATAAATACATATATAATTCTATTTTAACAAATAACATAATTGTCATTATGATATGAGGTCATTGCTTCATTGCGGCCTTCAAATCATACTTTTGATGATAAAGATACAGTGAAGTCTATGGAAGAGATTCTGTGTAACAGATGGGTCCACAAGTTTCCTTCCTATTAATAAATTAATGATAGTTTATGTACAAGAATTACATATAATTTGGGGCTGGCATGTGGCGTGGTATTTAAAGGTGCTGGATTCCCACATGGCCAAGCACAGTTCGGGTCCCAGACCTGGTGGCTTGCTTTCTCGCTTTCCCTTTCTCTCTGTCTCTGTCTCTCTCTGGTCAAAATTTTTTTTTTAAAAAAAAGAAGAAGAACAAGTGGAATTAAATAAATCATTCCTTTTTTAAAAAAATAATTAAATATAGTTTGAATGTTTGTATAATATTTGAGTTGCTCTTTTGTCATTAGAGTAGAAATCAACTGTAGGCAAACTGCCAGATTTGCAAAATACTACAGACTATTTGTAAAAATGGAACCAGAGAGCAGAGATATTAAATATTTGGAAAAGGAAGGAAAATAAAAGCTACCATTTACTGAATGCTTGCTCTTTCCATCCATTAACTTTACATGCATTATTTTAGTTAGTGCTTATTACATTCCTAAAAGGTAGGTAATATTACCCTTCTAATTTTGATGATAAGGAAACTGAGGGTCACAAAGTTTAAATTATTTTCCAGAGAGCACACAGCTGATAAATTGCATCCTGAGGTCTATCTGACTCTAAAGCTCAGGTTTCTTTTTATTATACCCTACCTCCTAAGGTTGCCACACCATTCTAGTTTAGTAAGTTTTTCCCACTGATCTTAAGAGGCTTCCTTTCCCAGGTCTGCTTTCCTACGTTGAGAAAACAGTCTTAGGCTTTAAACTGAAGGAACATTGAAAAAGTACATTTTAGTTTAGATAGAGTAGTTCACAAAAACATATAGCACCTCATAATTTAAAGCTACACCTGGGATCTGTTTTAGAATCTTCTCAAGATAGACAAGAAATATTATTCTTGTTTTTCTCAAACACAGTTATCTTTATTTTTAAAATAGACACAGCAGCACCTAGAAAACAAGAGTTCATTAGAGGCATTATACATTGTCAACTGATAGTGTGAAAAGGGTAGGTCCCAGCCTAGCTGGTTGTGGGTGCCACATCACAACGCTTGTTCACAACCATTTAATACGACACAACCCAGAACACCCAAAGGGAGACCAACAGTGTCAGTAGCACTCCTCACTTTAAGACTTTGTTATATGTATGAATAGTCAATCAAGTCAAGTATCACCCTCCTTAACAGCAGCTGCAATATTCATTGAGGAGGTGGCTGGTGTACTTGACCCACTCTTTAAAAAAATCTAAGCATTCAGTAAAAAACACTTCACTCTGTCAAATGCCATCTACAAAAACACTTCTGTTGTAGAAGAATTGCACTCCTCCATTTAAATATCTATAAAAGTTAATGCATGTCTCCTGCAGCAGACAGAAGAGAATGTGAGCAGGCACTTCCACATGACTCTCTTGGTGGAGAGTGCTGATGTGTTCACACTGTTCCCATAGGCAAGAAATACTCTTTACCAGACCAACAAGCTAAAAACTATCTTTAACCCTTCACACACTCGAATCACAAATAGAGCACTAAAAATAAAAGGCAGACTACCTAATAATTTTAAAGGGAGCTTGCATTGTTGAGTCAAGTTGCCATTAGAATTTTTAATATTGCCATTGAATATGCTTTCAAATAGAGGGGTCAAAAATAGGAAAATCATTATGTTCTTATTAAAGCATAGGTAGGAAATAAACCAAAGCATTCAACTTCATGTTTTCCTTATTATTGAGGATATTTTTTAAATGCTGAGATCACATTTGAAGAAAATGCCAGATTTTCTTACTTCAATTTGTAATAGCTCTAGGAAAACTATTGAGGCAAAATTTATAGACCTAGGTTGGCCTGGTTGTTAAAGCAACAGATCCCACTTGGCCAACTGGACGGTTCAAGTTCCAGACCCAGCAGCTTGAGAAACACTCCAGGCATGTGTGCATGCATGCTCAAAGTCCTGAAAGGAGAGGGAATTGGAGGAGAAGGGATTATGGCATGGTCATTTTTCTGTCTCTGGTGAGCACATGTGCTCTCTAGCAAAACAGAGAGAAAGAGAGAGAAGCAGTAGACCTTAAAATTGTCAAGTACTTGTTATTTGCTATACGGTAGAGTAGTACCACTTCCCTATTTCTTCATTACCTCTTTCTAATACAGAAACTCTTTGTTTAACTCCCTGCCTCATTATGAACTCTGTCACTGTCCCATAATGTTAGTTAATGTAATTTGGGTTCTATGTTTTCAGCTTACACTGAAGTTAAATCTAAGGAGTCTTCAAAAAGAGATGAACTTTCCAAGGATGAATTACTTTATTTCAGTCAGCTTCATGGTAAATACCTTTTTAAAAGTTTAACTGTTTTGATGATTAATCATGAATAGAGATTTTTCTGGCATAGATACTCATTACCCAGCTGGAAAAATTTGGTTCGTTATATCTTTTACTTCTTCCGTACCACACTTCACATAGTCTGCCAATATCTGACTAATTAATCAAATTGCATTTTAGGGCTTTGATTTATGGAATGTCTTGTTTAATAGAGAATTAAAATATGTTTTGTTTATAATGATGTTGTTTCCAAGAATTTATCAAACCATTTTCATGCCTTGATAAAAGATAATGAAGATAATAGAATATTTGATGATTGAAGGTCATAGCTATTATTCAAAGAGTGGATGCTTATTATAAATCACTGTAGGTATAGGAGACAGAGATTAGTCTAAGACATAATTTGGAAGTGATATGAGCTTATTTTTGTATCCTTTGCATCATTTATAGAAATACACAATGTCCTATAGAGGGACAAGTCCTGATTAATGTATGTTTGTAGCTACTAAGTGTTAAAGTGTTTGAACATTAAGGTTGTAGAGCTCATACAAATCGTCTAGTCAAGTCCCTTCCTTTCGTAGATAAGAATGCTGAGGCCCAGAGAGGAGTGACTTGTGCAAGGTTTCACAATGATTTATTATCACAATCAGGATTCTTAGCTCAGTCTTGTTTCCAGTGTATGTTTTCTTTTTCCTGGTAATGAAAATAATACAATTTAATTTGAGAAAAGTCACAAAGAAAAAAATGCCACCCAGAAATAAATACTTAATATTTTTTGTTGTTGTTGTTCTTGTTTCTTGCTTTTTTGAGAGGTTTTTTTTTTTTTGTTTTTTTTTTTGATATAGGGCACGGGTGCTCGCAAGACCAAGGCAGAAATCGAGAAAT